TCATTCTTTCAAGCTTGTTGATTCGCCGAAATGCAGTTTTTGCTTAAGTCACCCAGAAACAATGAACCATTTTTTCACAGAGTGTCAATTCACAAAACAGTTTCATATAGAATGCCAAGAATGGTTAAAAAAAGGAATGATTAATTTTCCAGATTTGAATTTAGAAAACGTTTTCTTGGGGTACAGTGAAAATATTTTCGTCAATTATTTGTTCGTACTGTGGAAATTTGTATTATATAAGTGGAGAAATAAATCAAGAAAACCAGTGCTAAATGATTTCATAGCAGAGATTAAATCCCATGAGAAACTAGAACACGATTTAGCAAAGAAAAGACTTAAAGAGGAAACACATTAAAAAAAAATATGAAAATTTAGCGTCCTTGTTTTAAATATGCCACGAAAACATTGCTTAAATTAACCTAAAATGGAAAAAGTATAGTAATTAAAATGATAATAAAATAGTAAAATCTAGACCCARTATTTAAAATATCCAGAGAAACACACTTAGTGGGTCTTTTAAAAAGTTGTAAAAAAAAGTTACATTAGGAAAAAAATTCTAGAGAAATGCACTTAGTGCGTTTTTTCAAAAAGTTGTAAATAGTAAATTTTAGATCAGGAAAAATTCTAGAGAAAAACACTTAATGTGACTTTCTCAAAAAATTGTAAATAGAGAATATAAAAAAAAAAAATCTAGAGAAACACACTTAGTGTGATTTCTTTAAAAGTTGTAAATTGCTTGTCTATATGTGTGTGTTGTTTTGATTTGTAGTTTGATAAATGAATAATAATAATTAAAAAAAAAAAATAATGAGGATTCAGCAGAAGAAGTCGAAGAAAACGAAACTGATGTTGGTCGTCTTCAAARCTCGAGCTGGTATGTTTATGTTTGTTTCTGTCTTTTTAGTTGAAAGCAGTAAAAATACTAAGCTTATCAACTTATATTTACGTAGAGCTACGTGTAGCTGCGTAAACACGTTTTTATAAAAAAAGCAAAGCATCAACAATAGTTTTTTTAACTCATACCATGTAACTACAACATTTTTATTTCAATACACAGTTTTCAATCTATGAAATATTAAGAGACAAAGATGGGGGCCGGCCGATTTCCTTTATATTCTCGGCATGAGAAACCTATCGAATATAGTCAAGAATGGCCATGTTTAAAGATTTTCAAAGTCAATAATTTTCGAGATGGACCACCCCCTTCATTTTGAGCCCTAAATCGTCGAAATCGCATATTTAATGACATCAAAATTGAGACCCGAAATATCACACTTCCTTACGGACTTTCTCAACGAAACTCTGCGCACAAATTAATTGTTCATTTGTTCATTTGCAAAATACCTTCAAACTCGAGATATTTAATTTAGTCGATGTTTTATTGCATTTTAAACAGATGGTGTTTTGTGGTATTTTGATGTTAGCCGAATTTGACCGAAAATTGAATTCGGTTTTCTCGTTTGTGCGGCAGTTTTTTTTCAAACTTAAGTCATACTGTGATTGCCTATTGTCAGAACATTCAAAATCAAAAATAATTTGAATGGGGCAAATTTTTATTGTAGAGCTACGCATCTTTACATTTTGACATTTTATCGCGTGATTAGCATAAGCCGGCACAATGTGTCACGCCACTACATTCATTTGCATTAAAGTTTTTTTAATTAAATAAGCTAATATGATCAAAGGTAAGTTTATGAACAAAAAAAGTAGGCTCCACAGGTTCTAAAGTACATTTTACGTCTTTTTCTATTACTTGTAATAATGCTGAACCATATGCCTGAACAGTATTATATTCAATGTGCAACAATGCTCCGCTTGTAAGATATGGGCAAGGCGCGAGTCTTGGGTGAAACCTATTCCCCCTAATATCAACTTTCCCCAAAATCAATACACCCCCTTAAATTCTGAGTTTTAATATTAACCAACACTCATAATCGTCCTAACTACACCCCAAAGCTTATATAGAATCCAAAACTACAGGAGAATAACCCCTTAACATGTTCCTTTCTTGAAATTCCCTACACAATCTATCTAGGATCTCCGAGCTGTCTAAACTACTAACACCAGGAGACCCTGTCTCTCCAGGGAGTCCCAAAACCTTTTCTACTAGAGTATAGTGTTCAACCATGCGAGATGATTGCCAACCCAAGTGACTTGCAACCTGTCCCTTTAAAGCACCCAAGAGACGCAGCATAATGGCTACACCGCTCCTAAAGCTATGAGGAGTCTCACCATCGAAGATATTCAACGAGGATAGGTAAAGGCGTAGTCTTTCGTAAGCTGCCTGGTAATGAAAAGGTTCGTTCCTCACCAAGCCGTT